CCCCCCCCCCCCCCAAAAAAAAAAAAAAAAACACTATGAAAGCTAACTATTGGGTTAGGATCAGGATAAAATAGTTCAAAAACATATCGAGTCCTAAAAGGAAGCAAATTCTAAGGGATCAATACGAATCTGTTTTGAAAGGTCGATATACTCTGCATATAATTGTTTCTAAATTTAGGTACAATATGCCACCATGGGTCCCACTTTGGACCCACATCAGCACCCTTGATCACTGACCCACCTCAGCTGTTTTTTGATGGACGATGTTGTTGGATTATGATGTGGGTACCTGATGTTGATCCTAATTATCCTTATCCACTACCAACTCCTTTCTGATATTCCTTTGCCCTTAGCCCTTGGTCAGAATTTTATGGGAATTTTCAAATTTTTTTGGCATACACAATTTGCTTTTGTACACATAAACATCTATATAATAAGGAATGGATTAAGGGTTAAACTGTCGAAGCAAGTACAGTGAGAAAAGTCGCATGCAGAGAAAAAGAAGCAGAANTCTATATAATAAGGAATGGATTAAGGGTTAAACTGTCGAAGCAAGTACAGTGAGAAAAGTCGCATGCAGAGAAAAAGAAGCAGAAGAAGAGAGAGAAAATTCTGAGGTATTTATTTTTTCTTTGAGAGCCATTGTATTTAAATGTGAAAGCACTTTTCTGGGTGTTGAGAGCAATAAGAAAAATCAATTTTTTGAATCAGAAACTATGTAGAACAAACGTACTTTCTATTTATTTGCTAAGAAATTGCATGTACCTAATGTTTAGCCATTGTTCTGTAAATTTTTTTCCTTGTTGATGGGTTCATTGATGGGTTGTTGAAGAAGGAAAAGGAGAAACTTGGTAGAACAAACGTACTTTCTATCTATTTGCTAAGAAATTGCATGTATCCAACGTTTGGTCATTGTTCTGTACTTTTTTTTCCTTGTTGATGGGTTCATTGATGTGTTGTTGAAGAAGGAAAAGGACTGTAGAATAGACCAAGCAAGATGGGATAAAAGCACTGTCCTTCACTTTGTTCTTGATGGTGGCATTGTTGTAATAAGCCTGTTATTCACTTGTTGCCAATGTGTTTGCTTCATGATACTTCTTTTCCCCCGAATATTTTGCTTTGTTATACTATAATTTTTCAATCCTTTTGGAAATTTTGGTGTACTTTTGTAGTTTTACATATATTTTTGAGTTCACAGTTGTTTGCCTGCCGATTTATTATACAAACACTAAGAGATTTTAATTGGAATAGCTAATTTGGAATTGTAACCATCAACATTTACATAAATCCTTTGTCTGTTGGAGATTAAACTTGGGTTTTTAATATCCTATTTCAATATCAGGTAATTGAGGTGTTTCTATTAGCTAAAAAAATTTGTGAGGTGTTTCCGCATCCAAAAATTAAAGCATTTTAGAACTTCTTCAACAAATTTAGATTCAGCAAAGTATGATTTTTGTACAAGGGTGTTGCTAGGCAATAGTTTTCTGTATCTCTATCTCGCAATATACGAGGCTTGCTGCTTCTTTGCAAAATGTAGCAAAATTGCCTCAAGATTCTTCTCCTTCCTTTATGCACCTTTTCATGTTAGATCAAAAGACTTCGTTTTTTTCCTCTTGCAACTATCAATGGATTAGATAACATCATCTAAGATGGTGNGCTTCATGTTAGATCAAAAGACTTTGTTTTTTTCCTCTTGCAACTATCAATGGATTAGATAACATCATCTAAGATGGTGTACNTTTTCATGTTAGATCAAAAGACTTCGTTTTTTTCCTCTTGCAACTATCAATGGATTAGATAACATCATCTAAGATGGTGTACATCAGATCAGCCCCCTTAGTTCACTTGGGTCCTTAGTATCTATACAACATGTGGTTCTGATGTTTCATGCTTTTTGTTGGAATAATGTTTTCCCCAATACTTGGATGCAATCATGAGTCCTTTACATTTTCTGTCGAATTAAAATATACTTTCTTAGAAATGTATTTCACGATGTGATGCAATGTAGGCACAACTGTCTTCAATTAGACTGTCCCACCTCAACAAAAAAACACAGGGAGGGAGAAGATGTGTAATTTCACATAGCAGAGTGACTTANTACGATGTGATGCAATGTAGGCACAACTGTCTTCAATTAGACTGTCCCACCCCAACAAAAAAACACAGGGAGGGAGAAGATGTGTAATTTCACATAGCAGAGTGACTTAAAATCTTACCAGATCTTGAAATTAGAAAGATGTGGGAGAAATAAATTTTACACCTCAATGTGCAGTTTGTTAAGTGGTTCATGGAGCAAGAGCTCTTTATACCTGATTAAATAATGTGTAATACATGTTCAACAATTTCATCAGTTGATGCAAAAATTTCTGTAATCAGTCCTGTTTGCAGGTCTTTTTCATTGATATCATCAGATATTGCTTTTTTCTTTCTCCTGAATCCTGAATTGTAGTTCAGCTGTAGATTTATTCCACAACTGGAATCCAATGGAAGGGGGTCCTCCTCAAGTGAAGAAAACAGAATTCNAATCATCAGATATTGCTTTTTTCTTTCTCCTGAATCCTGAATTGTAGTTCAGCTGTAGATTTTTTCCACAACTGGAATCCAATGGAAGGGGGTCCTCCTCAAGTGAAGAAAACAGAATTCACAGAATGCTGGCAGACAGTTTGGAAAACACCCTACATTATGCGGCTTGCCCTGTCAGCTGGCATTGGAGGTCTCCTCTTTGGTTACGACACAGGTAACAACACACATTTTTTTTCTTTCTACTTGGTTCCCCTCTTCAGACACATGTATCTAACACAAGGACATAGTTGTTAAATCGCAATTCGTATAGTGGATCGGAATCCTAAATTTGAGAATCGTGATTCGTAAGATTCGACACAAAATTTGAACAAAAATAAAAAATAATACTATATATTTAAAATAGATAAAATATTGAATATTGAACATTATTGTATCTAAAAATAATCAATTGACATAATCACGTCATCTAAATAGAAAGACACTAGCCTTTTGCTTCATTTATATCTTTTGCTCAACCATTACAAATTCAACAACTTGAAAAAAAAATTCATTAAAGAACCATGGCTATTCAAAAACCAAAATAGTGATACCCAGTATAGAATAGATTGCAAACTTGAATGGAAAAAGAACAATAAAAATATTGATTGGGAGAAAAAATACAGGCCAACATTTTGAAACAACAAATTAGAACTTAACAAACTATCCATGAAAGAATTGAGAGTAAAAATCAATCAATGATGCGAAAGCGTTAGCCGTGACCTTTAACCTTAGACAACACAAGGCGAGCTTTAGACGACGTCAGAGAGAGAACGAGTAAAGAGGTTGAGTTTTTATTAGAGCGTGAGTTCCTATGCAAACAAAACGACGTTGTTTTGCAAACAAATTGGGTTTTAAAAAAGTGATTGAATCGTGCAATTCGTAAGATACAAATCGTACGATTCAAGTGCGATTCAATTTTAAAACGATTCTCATATAAGAGACGAATTGTTTTGTACTGTATCGAACTGAATAGTATGAATCGAATCGTGAATCTTACGATTTTGATAACTATGCACAAGGATTTAAAGTCCAAACAAATTCTTCCTTTTTCACTTTTGACGTGATTTTAAGGCAACAATGAATGTTGCATGGACAAACATAATTACTAAATACTAAGTCATACAATATTGTATTAGTTCATGCACTGTACTGTATATGCTGCTCAGTGAAGTTGTATATTTGATAAGCTTTGTTATCACATAATAGGTGTTATTTCTGGCGCCCTTCTCTACATCCGGGATGACTTCAAATCTGTGGAGAAGCATACATGGCTGCAGGTAAGCTACTCTCAAATGCTCTCCATTAGCAATGTTCTAATTTTCTATTAGTATTCTCTTGTGAAATGACTTAACCTTGTTTGTGTATGAATGTGTGAAGGAAACAATTGTGAGCATGGCCGTAGCAGGAGCTATTATTGGGGCTGCATTAGGTGGATGGTTGAATGATAGATATGGGCGGAGAAAATCAATTTTAATTGCTGATTTTCTTTTTTTTGTTGGTGCAATTGTCATGGCTTTTTCTCATTCTCCCGGGTTGATAATTTTTGGAAGAATACTTGTGGGTTTGGGAGTTGGAATGGCATCCATGACTGCACCTCTTTATATCTCAGAAGCTTCTCCAGCTAGAATTAGAGGGGCATTAGTAAGCACAAATGGTTTGCTGATTACAGGAGGGCAGTTTTTGTCTTATCTGATCAACTTAGCCTTCACCAAAGTATGAATATTTGAATTTTTTTCAGTTGTCTTAAATTTTCTGGACAGGTAATATCCTTGTCAGTTAGAATGGAAGATTCGTAGTGTGACTCATTCCCTATGTGTTTCAGACACCTGGAACCTGGCGTTGGATGCTTGGGGTGGCAGGAGTTCCAGCCCTTGTTCAGTTCATATTGATGCTTTCGCTTCCTGAGTCTCCTAGATGGCTATATAGGCAGGTAACACTCATTCTCCTCTAAATATATATCATGTAAAGGTTTTGTTTTCCAATTATAAAATGCTCTAATGTGCTCGAATGAGGTGAGTCCATGGTTTGGATCTGCCAGATCAACTTGTGCATCTGTTAAGCAACTATTCTTCAAATCTGTTCACCTAGTTGATGAATCCTATGGTTTTTGCATTACATATTTTCAAGTTTGTATGATTTTTTTCTCGAAAGTTTGGGCTATACATTTGGTTTTGGTGCACTGCCATTGATTTCAAACTAGATATAGTTTCCAAGTGAAGAGACAATGTTCTGATTTCTCTTGGTTGCTTTTACCGTACACTACATTTGAATTGTTGTTGTGAACTAAATAATTTCAGTTACATCCTTTTTTCTTCGATGTACCTCCCCATTTTTATCCAAGCTTGACCTGTGAAACTATAAATACTTTTGTTACCCAGCTTGATTATTAATGTGTTTCTTGCAATTTGATCAGAATAAGGAACAAGAAGCGAGAGCCATCTTAGATAAGATCTATCCAGCCAACGAAGTTGAAGATGAAATGAAAGCCTTGCAATTGTCTGTAGAAGCTGAAAAGGCTGAGGAAGGTTCTATTGGTGATGGTATTATTGCAAAACTAAGAAGGGCTTTTGGCAATGTTGTTGTCCGAAGGGGCCTTTATGCTGGTATCACAGTCCAGGTGGCTCAGCAGTTTGTGGGTATCAATACTGTGATGTATTATAGTCCCACCATTGTTCAACTGGCTGGGTTTGCTTCAAACAAGACAGCTTTAGCACTGTCCCTCATTACTTCCGGCCTTAATGCGGTTGGCTCCATTGTCAGTATGGCCTTTGTCGACAGATATGGCAGGAGGAGGTTGATGATTTGCTCTATGATAGGGATCATAGTTTGCCTTGTGGTTTTAGCCATCGTGTTCCGTGAAGCTGCGTCCCATTCACCCCTTATCAGTAGTTTTGAATCCACCCACTTTGGTGGCAACTCTACATGTCCAAACTACTTGAAAGCCCCAGATGCATCATCTTGGAATTGCATGACATGCTTGAAAGCATCTTCAGATTGCGCCTTCTGTAGTGATGGAGATAACGAAGTAAGCTTATCATGCTCATCTCGTTGGTTTTTTGAGTCTTCTCAACCTACTTAGCTTGTTATGTCATTTTTAGCCGTGTTTCCAAAACACATAATTGATTCTATTGGAGAATAGTTCACATCATGAAGCCATGCATCCCACTAACCGTTCCTGTTGATGTTTTCATATTTTGGAACCTCTATTTGTTGATGTACTTGCTCTCCATTTCTCATGAAATCTGACTGAATTGTACTTTGAATCAGTATTTGCCTGGAGCTTGCCTAGCTGCAGAAGATGCTATAAGGGGCGCATGCCGTGCAGAGCGCCGTACGTGGTACACCAATGGTTGTCCAAGCAGGTATGGAATTCTGGCTGTTTTAGTCTTAGGAGCGTACATCATATCATACTCACCAGGAATGGGAACGGCACCATGGATCGTGAACTCTGAAATCTATCCACTGAGATACCGAGGCATTGGTGGAGGAATCGCGGCAGTTAGTAACTGGGTTTCTAATCTCATAGTGAGCGAGTCATTCTTATCTTTGACTGAGGCTCTGGGTTCTGCCTACACATTTCTCCTATTTGCTGGGTTTTCCTTCATTGGACTGGTGGCCATATCCTTGCTTGTGCCTGAAACCAAAGGGTTGCAACTTGAGGAGGTTGAGAAGATGCTTGAAAAAGGCTACAGACCAAATTTACTTCCCAAATGTTTCAAGAGAAGGAAGGATGATTCTACTCAAGTCAGCAACAATTCATGATTTCTTGGAAGCTCTATTTTTTTTTTTTTATTGAATCCTAGGCCAAATTAGATCACAAACTTATTAATTTCTTGGTGATTTTAGCTGCTATGAGATAGGAACTTTATTGGTAGGCTGGACTTGAATTGCTCTCTACCAGAATTGAACTTTCGAAGGCTCTGCATTTTTATTAACTTATACAACTATGTTGCTTAACACCATTTAGATACAGTAGAGTAGATGTAATGGTGGTATTTATTTAGCTTCTGAATACTGAAAAATTACTTTTTGTCCACAGCTTCTTTGTGAAGAATTACAACTGTACGCAGTCTTTATGAGTTTATGATATATTTGTCTACAACTTAAAAATACTAAAACCACAGGTTTTCCAGTGGCTACTGGTATATGCTCCACCTTCCCCCCTCTCCCCGATTTCTTTCTTTTTNTTAGGCTGGACTTGAATTGCTCTCTACCAGTGGCTACTGGTATATGCTCCACCTTCCCCCCTCTCCCCGATTTCTTTCTTTTTAATTTCGGATCATGAATAGAACTAACCCCAATCTGGGTTTAACTTACGAAAAAATATTTTAAAACTTTCTAAAATTTTCGTGTGCATTTTTATTAAATGAAAAGCAAAAATATAATATTAAAAAATAATATTTTATTATCGAATTGAGACCCACAAACAAAATGAACTACAACACTCCCCCCCCCCCCCCCCCCCCCCCCCCAAAAAAAAAAAAAAAAAAAAAAAAAAAACNGGTCAAAAAACGTTTGAAAACAATTGCGAAAGTACCTAATCGGCCAAAATTGGAAAACATGATCCATCCAAACAGAAGGACAAACCATACCTGCTCTGCCAGCTAATGAACTAACAATAAGGCCAAGGGCCAGAACAGCAACTCCGACCAATCTAATTTACTGCTTTAAGCACTCGAAACTAACGGATTGACAATGAACCCCAATATCATTGAGATTCGTTACTAATATAATATAATGGTTGTGAATCTTGTGATAAATTAAATCAACACAAGCCTATTGTGGGCTTGGTTTCTGGCTGGCGGGCTTGTCTATAGATGCATGCTGGTAGGACCAACAGAGTCCGTGGACTGAAACAACCCACTTCACACAAAAGGCTACCTGATCAAGGGACCTATCACCAACCATATCTTTCAGTTTCATCTGCCCATCTTTTCCATGGCTTGCTTGAATTTTTGATCAAATTACTGCCTTTTTTTATATATTTATCAAATTTTGGATTAAATTTAAGTTTTTCAATGTGCAAATCTAGTGGCAAAACATACTTGAAATACAAAAGTTTAAAAGGATGTTTTGCGAACATGCTTTTACATTGTAGAGACAAAAGTATAGCAGTTTGGTAATTGATTCTAGTTTGTATAGGGAAAGGAAAAAAGAACTGAAGGAAACAAAACATTAACCACAAAGTAATTGTAATTGATGAAAAAGAAGAGTTATATATGTCACCCAGAAATGCATACAGAACAGATATATGGCAACAATAGGTCTCACGGAAACAGTACCTTTTGATTAAGAAGGAAACAAACTCACTCCTGCATAGTCACTACTTTCACTAAACAATACCACCCAATTAGCAACTCATTATACAGAATTTTGATCACCCAAACAAAATAAAAACAATCCTAACTCAAACCCTTATCAACCTACAACCTAAAACCCAGCTAAGCAAACAAGTTTTCCCCTCCGCAGAACAAAACTAATGACAGAGGGGCACAAAAACTCCAAATATTCTAGTCAACAACCATACACCTAAAAGGTCATCTCCTTTTCACTAGCTTCTACCAATTTTCTTCACTTTCATCGTACACTTTCAATTATCTCAACCACTCGGTCAAACCACCAAAACACTTCCTGTACACAGTGAAGAATCTACAAATTTTAGCATGACATTAGATCATTTTAAAATACCTCCCTATTGACTAGAAGTAGAACCTTCTTGTCTTGGTTCTCTCAAGTACCCAAGCAAGGTTTCAGCCTGCCAAAAGCAACAAAGAAGTCCAAATTCAGCCACCCACAAAAAAACAATCATGCTACGAACAAAATGCAGTTTTCATTCATTGACTTGTACACACCAAGACAGTAAATCACAATCGCAAAAAATTCCCACAATCAGCAGAGTCAATTAAATAAAGCATCATGTATATATGACATTGGTTNAATTTTAGCATGACATTAGATCATTTTAAAATACCTCCCTATTGACTAGAAGTAGAACCTTCTTGTCTTGGTTGTCTCAAGTACCCAAGCAAGGTTTCAGCCTGCCAAAAGCAACAAAGAAGTCCAAATTCAGCCACCCACAAAAAAACAATCATGCTACGAACAAAATGCAGTTTTCATTCATTGACTTGTACACACCAAGACAGTAAATCACAATCGCAAAAAATTCCCACAATCAGCAGAGTCAATTAAATAAAGCATCATGTATATATGACATTGGTTCCACGGATAAAAATGTCCAACACAGCTATGATCAATGATCGTAAAAATTTATCACCCAAGTATGCTGAAGCCAATTTCATCGTTATGTATGTTTAAAGTGCACAATTCATAAAGCAAAACATATATCACACTAATTCTGCCAGTTATATGATATACCCCTCAGCAAGCATTTAATTTTATTCATCACTGACTTGAAAAAGTGGAAAGTGTAATCAACCCATGTGCACCCAACAAATTGATACTCCCATTATGCTAATCAACTGCAAGATTAGGCTAATTTAAACAACAAAAATGCTCACTTCAGAGCAANAAATGTATGTTTAAAGTGCACAATTCATAAAGCAAAACATATATCACACTAATTCTGCCAGTTATATGATATACTCCTCAGCAAGCATTTAATTTTATTCATCACTGACTTGAAAAAGTGGAAAGTGTAATCAACCCATGTGCACCCAACAAATTGATACTCCCATTATGCTAATCAACTGCAAGATTAGGCTAATTTAAACAACAAAAATGCTCACTTCAGAGCAATAAACACTGAAGGAACTATGCACAACCTAGATACCTATATCTACAATAACCAGCAAGGCATTAGGAACCCATTTCACCTCAACAATAAATATGACCATATTGCTAATCCAGTGCATCGTCAAGACACAATGCTAGAGTGATCAAGAAATAGTACCTAATGATATGAAGATGATAAATTGATACCTTTGATTGAATTTAATTTAAATAGGCTTCAAGATTTCAAATTACCAAAATTTTGATCCAAAAATCAAACAGCACTCTCAAAAATCAAGTTGCGCATCAAATCAATCTCAGTCAAGACTTGCCAATTCAACGCCACATCATTTAGTCCTTCATTTTTTGTCTCATTTTTCGATTCAAACGGGTGCATTGCAATGAAATGAACTCTGATGAAGAACTCACCTTGTGCTTGGCTTTAGCAGTCCCATTCTGTGAAAGCGCGACAAGAGGAGGAATCCCACCTTCCGTAACAAGCAACCCTCTGTTCCTCACACTATCACTGCACAACTGCAACAATGTCAACACTGCCAATTCCTTCCCTTTAGCCGAACCATCTTCAATTGCCTCCACAAGAGCTGCAATCCCACCTTCCTCCACAATTGCCTCCTTCCCCTCCCCAATCGCCGCCAAACTACTCAACACCACCACCGCCTTCTCCATCAGACCCACCCCGTTCTCCCCCACCAACTCCACCAACACCTTCACCACCCCAGCACTCACCGCCCTCTTCTTATTCAGCTTCACTGAACAAAGTTTATACAGAGTCGTCAGTGAGTCCTTTTGCCCTCTATTTGACCCATTAATCAACAAAGCAATCAATGGTGGTATCGCACCAGAAGCTCCAATTGAAATCTTGTTATCCTCAACCAAAGCTAAGCTCAACAAAGCGCACGCTGCGTTTTGCTTTGAGGTTTCAGTTCCAGTTTTCAACAAGAAGACGAGGGGTTTTATTGCCCCAGAACTTGTTATCAAATTCTTGTTCTCTTCGTGGAGTGACAGATTAAGCAAAGCTGTGACCGCGTGTTCTTGAGTCGAAGGGTCACTACTCGTCAACAGAGGTAGTAGAGCTGGTATAGCACCGGATGAACCGATCAACGCTCGATTATCGGATCGGTTCTTTGCTAGTAGCCTCAATTTCGCCGCCGCCGATCTTTTAACCGCGATTGACGGCGAATTGAGGCCGTCGATGCAGATTTTCACCGTCGGTTGAAGAACCTCCGGCGAAATATTTTCTATTATCTCCGTCGAAAAGCTCTCTCTCTGCAAAAACCCAAAGCAGGGCTCTGGTTTGGGTTCCAAAATCGCATCAGAATCCGATTTTTCGGCACTTGGAAGACTCGCCAAACGGCGTAACTCGCCGGAAATATCGCTGCTATAAGCCGAGAAATTGCTAAAGGCTGGAGAGAATTCCAGAAATTCTTCTTCTGAAGACGAGGATTTAATAACCGATTTGGTGGTGCGAGAAGCAAGTTCGCCGAGGCGGAGGTCGATGACTGAATCGGATACATTGATCGACCTTTCGCAGGCGGCTGGACCGGGAAATGAGTAGGAGCGGTCAGTCTGGCTGAGATTGGACCTGGCAAGAGGTCGCTGAATGTTGGCCGAAGACGAGCGGGGTGGAGTGTAATAATAAGATGGCATTTGTGAGAAGCGAGAGGGATAGGAATGAGAATGAAAGTCTTCTTTTTTTTTTTTTTTTTCTTCTTCTTCTTCTTCAAGAGAAACCATTTCTGAACTAATAAAAAGGTTTAATTCATGACGGGTATACAGATTGATATCAGAGCGTTTCAGCTGAATTTGATGTTTATGGAGACTGGTTTTTCAAGAAATTTGCATGGTGGCTGGAGAGAGAGGGAAGAGAAATAATAGCGGACTAAAAAAAAAGAAGAAAGACGGTGGTGAATTTGGAAGTTTATGGTGACTGGTTGGTTCTGACTCGAGATTGTCTTTGCGTGAATTGTCGGCCGGCGTTTCTGGATCAACAAAACAATAAAAAATTTCTCGGCGAAATGACGCCGTTTGACGTCTTCAAAGTTCAAAATTACATAATTGCCCATTACTGTGGCTTTTCAGTGGACGACCCCCCACCCCAAACAGGAAAATAGTGAAAGATTCTTGGAATTAAAGTTTAACCGATGTTGCGACACGTGTTGACAAATGAGTTTTGTCATTGTTGTGTTAGACCAGATTCCCCTTTTAGGCTAAGTGATGTTATACTTACCAAAATATTTATTAAAAAATAATTTTATCAAACTAATTAGCAATTCTACATATAATTAAAAATATTTTGATGGATATTTGGTGAGTCCTTGAGGGTAAAAAAACAACAATTTTTGGTAAGGATTACATTTTGCTTTTAAGCCGCCCGATTAATAGTATCCTCATGGATTGGGGGGCCCAAGTGGATTGTGATTCCATGGTCAACGTAAGAATTCCTCGTGATTTTATCCACGAATGGACAGAACCCAATAGTTAAATCACTTCTTTTTTTTTTCCCCTAATTTAATCCTCTTATTTCAAACTATTGACTTCATTTTATCCATACTCATCCATTAATTGTTAAGTTCACTCATTTATATCCATTCAATTAAATTATTAAATATATATCAAAAAAATTAAAACAAAATTTTAATATTTCAAAGTGATCTATATTATTTCGAGGTATTTTTATCAATATTTTAAAAATAATTCTTAATTTTTATTCTACTTCTAAAATATTTTCGTTTCAAAATAATATATCGAAACGAAATTTTGATCATTGCCTATATAGTAGATTGAAATAAAATTGAATAAATTTAGTTTTTAATCAGGGAATATAGACGAGATGAGTTTAATAACTTAATTATGATGTGGGTATAGATAAGATGAATTTAATAATTTTAAATAAAATAATTATACGGGGGTGAAAAATAAAATTTATGGGGTGAGAATAGTCTCATCCAACCCAATATGAAGTTAGTAAATTTGAATTTATTTTTATAAAAATAATTTTTTTTCTGGTGCAAAAATTAGGAGCTCTTACTCGTTGAAAAAACACCTCCAAAAGAAGTCAAACAAAAGAACCCGCCAGCATGTATTTTGTAAAGACAATTAGAGTTATAACCAAGTGTAATTCTATTGAAAATTTTAACTTAAAATCAAATAGAACATAAATCTAACTATTTTTTTTTTCTTGCCGCCATGGAAAGGATTTATTCAGTTGTAATATGGCTTAGATAATGTAATAATTCTATTGCTCAATGTTCCAATTTAGATTGGCTCCTCTCCTTTCCAATTGCATTGAAAAACAGTTAGAGAGGACCTTCTAATTATCTATGCCTATGCACCCCCCCAAAACTTGAAGTCCAAGTAAAAAAGAAATATATAAACAAAACTCAATTCTAGGAGGATTGAGAAACTGTGATATATTCAAATCGCCTATCGACACACCGAATCATCTTCAACAACATGGGTTGCATGGGGANCGGACCTTCTAATTATCTATGCCTATGCTCCCCCCCAAAACTTGAAGTCCAAGTAAAAAAGAAATATATAAACAAAACTCAATTCTAGGAGGATTGAGAAACTGTGATATATTCAAATCGCCTATCGACACACCGAATCATCTTCAACAACATGGGTTGCATGGGGAATCAATCCTACATCAAAAGGAATGGTAGGCACACAGGCATTGATTGCATATCAAGAATCCGANAATGACGCCGTTTGACGTCTTCAAAGTTCAAAATTACATAATTGCCCATTACTGTGGCTTTTCAGTGGACGACCCCCCACCCCAAACAGGAAAATAGTGAAAGATTCTTGGAATTAAAGTTTAACCGATGTTGCGACACGTGTTGACAAATGAGTTTTGTCATTGTTGTTGTGTTAGACCAGATTCCCCTTTTAGGCTAAGTGATGTTATATTAAAAAATAATTTTATCAAATTAATTAGCAATTTTACATATAATTAAAAATATTTTGATGGATATTTGGTGAGTCCTTGAGGGTAAAAAAACAACAATTTCTTGCCGCCATGGAAAGGATTTATTCAGTTGTAATATGGCTTAGATAATGTAATAATTCTATTGCTCAATGTTCCAATTTAGATTGGCTCCTCTCCTTTCCAATTGCATTGAAAAACAGTTAGAGAGGACCTTCTAATTATCTATGCCTATGCACCCCCCCAAAACTTGAAGTCCAAGTAAAAAAGAAATATATAAACAAAACTCAATTCTAGGAGGATTGAGAAACTGTGATATATTCAAATCGCCTATCGACACACCGAATCATCTTCAACAACATGGGTTGCATGGGGAATCAATCCTACATCAAAAGGAATGGTAGGCACACAGGCATTGATTGCATATCAAGAATCCGAAACAATGAAGGTTTACACCTCACCTATCAATAGCTATGACACTCAATTTTTAGAGGGAGATGTGAGTTTCAGAGTGTCCAATCTGTCAGCCACGTTTGTCAACAATCAAATTACTATCTTTGCTACTTTAGACCTCCCAGTAAACACCACCAAAATACACCATGTTTGGCAAGGCGGTCTCATCTCATCAGGCAATGCTTTGGGAATGCATGGTCTCTCTGGACAACATATTCAATCTATGGCTACTTTAGACCTTTCTTCTGGAATATCAATGCCAACAAAGTGGGGGAAATCAAAATCCATATTGCGCAATGCTCATGGAGCACTGAACGTAATTAGCTGGGGTACAATGATGCCTATTGGATTTATGCTAGCAAGGTACTTGAAGGTTTTTCGACCCTCGGATCCTTTGTGGTTCTGCCTCCATGTTTCGTGCCAGTGCTTGGCTTTCTCAATCGGTGTGGTGGGATGGGCAACTGGTCTTGCACTTCGTCTCATGTCTTCTGGTGTCCATCATACCAACCATATGGCCATTGGAACCACCATCTTCTTTCTTGGGATACTTCAGATCTTGGCTTTGCGTCTCCGACTCCACTAGGACCATAAGTACAGGTCTTACTGGAATTTCTACCATCACTATGTGGGATACGTAGTCCTCTCCTTGGGTATTGCCAATGTGTTCATCGGATTTAAGATCTTGAAGCCTGGGAAGGGTTGGGAGATTGCGTACTATGTCATCTTCGGGGCCTTGTTATTCACTCTGGTTACTCTAGAAGTTAGCAAGAGGTACTTCGAGAACAAATCTACCAACCGAAGAGATGGTGTCAAAACGCAGCAATGGAGGAAGTGAAGTCGTATGAAACGGTGCTAATTGTGCACAGCAGAGAGTGTAGTTAGTTAATACTCTTTTGTGGTATAGGCAGCAGTGTCTCTATTTAGCTTCCTAAATGATCATTAAATGCCTGTGTAGTTAAAATTAAGTTCAAACGTGAAAATTTCCTGCACATGCAAGCCAATATTAGAACTACAAAAATGGGTGTTTTGGCTGTACTTGTTCTTCAGTTCTATTTTGCTTATTATTTATGCTTCGTTGGCCCTTACAATATTATATATGACCATTTTCAGTTGTTGGTCTTGTGCTTTAAGTAGGATGTTCAAGGACACAAATAAAATCTACTGGAGATTTTTGAGATGCAAATTTCACCAGGATGCATTGGGGCGCGGATACTACTCCAAATCCTTTTGTGTGGTTGCTGGTGACAAACCAGAACAGAATATGGCACAAAATTGAACTAAATGAACTTACATAAGTTCTATTCCTAAACATCAATGGAGGAGGGAGACTCGAANGAAACCAGAACAGAATATGGCAAAAAACTTGTTCTAAATGAACTTACATAAGTTCTATTCCTAAACATCAATGGAGGAGGGAGACTCGAAACTACATTGACTAAATCATCACGAGTGTCATTTGACCGTCATGATAGAACCGCATTTCTAAAACTTCTATTCATTTTAAGGATCTAAAATTGTCTCTGTTCCAACAGAGTGTGCTACAAGATCAAAGTTCACAACTAGACTGGACTTGTCAAAGCTAGAGGAGGCAATTCTTCAATGGTTTGACAAGGATATCTTAGTAACTTCTCACAATGTTCCATAGCAAATCAGGGCATTAAAACACTCCCATTAGATAGTATATCACAGAACTTTTCCAGTAGATAGTACATCACAGAACTTTTCCAAAGTTCATGCTTGTAGGATTCGATGCTTGTTTTGATCCTTTCCGGGAGCTAATGTAATATGAAAATAATTTAGAGAGATGCACAAAACAGTTTAGAGGGATGTACAAGACAAATNGTAGATAGTATATCACAGAACTTTTCCAGTAGATAGTACATCACAGAACTTTTCCAAAGTTCATGCTTGTAGGATTTTCGATGCTTGTTTTGATCCTTTCCGGGAGCTAATGTAATATGAAAATAATTTAGAGAGATGCACAAAACAGTTTAGAGGGATGTACAAGACAATTCCCTCGGGCAATGAATAACCCAATCAAGATGATTCTTCTGGCATGATTTCACACGCATAAAAAGAAAGAACAAGAATTAGATTATGGACTTCAATTACTACACAACATGCAAGAGGAAATGGGAAAGATTTCTTGAAGCTTCATAATCATACATAAATAGGTTTCACAATGTAGAAAACTTTGATTTCCTATTATAAGAGTAGTAATATCAATTGGATTTTACAAAACAGTTGGCACTTCATAAGGCAGAATGTCAACTGGAAGAATCACGATGAGAACTGGAAGAATCACGATAATCAACCCATATCACTTGACTAATTGTGCTTCTTGACCTTTTAGATGGAGTTAGTACACTTATAGTTTCGTTCTTAGCAGAGATAACATGATGGCCAAATCCAGGTTTTTCTAGTTCCCTCTTCTCTCATTCTGATTGCCTCAAGGCCTCGATAAATGCATCCTTCAGAAGAGGATTTGAAGCTGCAACTCGCTGAGATGTGATGTCAAAATCTTTACCTGATCTGGAGCAAAATAAAATCACAATTTTGGCGTAAGCCAACTCCTTCAAAAAACAATTGGGTGAATGAGGTTAGACTATTAAGGAAATCAAGACGACTTCCTTGCCAGTAGTTGTGCAGTTCTGAACATATCAATAATTATTCATTAAACTATCACTTACTGAATGCCCACAGAATGCAAATCTATATAATCCATTCTCTTTACATTGGATTCACAGTCTAAAACAAAAGTGTTACTTACGGATCAAACACAAGTCCTCCAGCTTCTTTAACAATCACAGCACCACCTGCCACATCCCTGAGCATAAGAGCAAAGCATGTCAACCGTAAATTATGTCCGGTTTTATGGTTCGTTCAGTAGGGTGGATGAAAAAGTGGAAAAACATAAAGTAGGAAGGGTCCACTTTCTATACGAAACCTTCCTTCCCTCCGTTGTGTTTGGCAGGAGAGATGAAAAATATGAGAGATTTTATCATGTTTGGTATGGATGGAAAAGTGAAAGGAAGGAAAAAGTATTTTATCATGAAATAAACTTATCCATTATATTTAGTAGAATATTTATATTAAGGGATATTAAAAAGAAATAGCAAATATTTCAACACACGTGGTTAACTTTACTTCCACTTTTCCATTGGGAGGATAGATTAAGGGAGGGATGGGAGGACGACCCATCACTCAACTTTTCCTTCCGGACGAAACATGATGTTTTATCAATTCCTTCCCTTTTTCATCTCTCCACTTTTCCTTCCTTACTTCCACTTTTCGATCATTTCAAACGACCCTTTAGTCAAGTAATAGAAACAAAGACATACCAAGGCCCCCCGAATCCCTGTAAATAAAAAAGATCAAGCCTTCCACATGCAATCCCACAAAGATCCAATGCACAAGAGCCACTCATCCGAAGGGATCTCACCTGATCACAAGAGAAAACGATACTTCCAGTATGGCTTGCCAAAACTTATCCATGGAAATAAAGCTTCCACCCAAGTTCTGGTTTTACCTTGAAAAGTAAGCTATTAATTCTACTTGTAGAGGCATCAATAGTGGCCTTATCACGCTTTGGTATATCCTGCTCTTTCAGACACATCAGACCTCGTTAGCTTCTTACAAGTAACATCAGAAAGTTAAACTTTAGAGCGCTTAGTTCATTTATGTTCACCCCCAAGTGTGATTCCTTGATATTAGTACCAAGAAATAAAAAAAAGTGCATAACATGAAATCTATGACACATTGCTCAGATGCAGGAAGCTGGTTGTCAAGTGTCAAGTGAGAAGGTCCATGTGACCACTGTACAATAAGTGGAAGCAATGAAAGTAGTCAATTTTCTCTTGAACTTTCTCTCTTCTAACAGATAACATCATTTGCAGTCATTACTTCTATAATGCAAACAATATTATACTCCTATTACCAGAAGCAACATACTTAAATTCTTAAAGCACCCAGTAAAGTAAATAAAGTAGCCTACAGATGTGGCAGGTATCCAGTACAAGTCACACAACTGAATGTATGTGTTTGAAATTGATGAATAATTTGCAAGAAATGCGCTCCGCATATGTGCTTGAACATAATAGTTAAACCTCCCTAGAGGGATNTGGTTTTATGGTTCGTTCAGTAGGGTGGATGGAAAAGTGGAAAAACATAAAGTAGGAAGGGTCCACTTTCTATACGAAACCTTCCTTCCCTCCGTTGTGTTTGGTAGGAGAGATGAAAAATATGAGAGATTTTATCATGTTTGGTATGGATGGAAAAGTGAAAGGAAGGAAAAAGTATTTTATCATGAAATAAACTTATCCATTATATTTAGTAGAATATTTATATTAAGGGATATTAAAAAGAAATAGCAAATATTTCAACACACGTGGTTAACTTTACTTCCACTTTTCCATTGGGAGGATAGATTAAGGGAGGGATGGGAGGACGACCCATCACTCAACTTTTCCTTCCGGACGAAACATGATGTTTTATCAATTCCTTCCCTTTTTCATCTCTCCACTTTTCCTTCCTTACTTCCACTTTTCGATCATTTCAAACGACCCTTTAGTCAAGTAATAGAAACAAAGACATACCAAGGCCCCCCGAATCCCTGTAAATAAAAAAGATCAAGCCTTCCACATGCAATCCCACAAAGATCCAATGCACAAGAGCCACTCATCCGAAGGGATCTCACCTGATCACAAGAGAAAACGATACTTCCAGTATGGCTTGCCAAAACTTATCCATGGAAATAAAGCTTCCACCCAAGTTCTGGTTTTACCTTGAAAAGTAAGCTATTAATTCTACTTGTAGAGGCATCAATAGTGGCCTTATCACGCTTTGGTATATCCTGCTCTTTCAGACACATCAGACCTCGTTAGCTTCTTACAAGTAACATCAGAAAGTTAAACTTTAGAGCGCTTAGTTCATTTATGTTCACCCCCAAGTGTGATTCCTTGATATTAGTACCAAGAAATAAAAAAAAGTGCATAACATGAAATCTATGACACATTGCTCAGATGCAGGAAGCTGGTTGTCAAGTGTCAAGTGAGAAGGTCCATGTGACCACTGTACAATAAGTGGAAGCAATGAAAGTAGTCAATTTTCTCTTGAACTTTCTCTCTTCTAACAGATAACATCATTTGCAGTCATTACTTCTATAATGCAAACAATATTATACTCCTATTACCAGAAGCAACATACTTAAATTCTTAAAGCACCCAGTAAAGTAAATAAAGTAGCCTACAGATGTGGCAGGTATCCAGTACAAGTCACACAACTGAATGTATGTGTTTGAAATTGATGAATAATTTGCAAGAAATGCGCTCCGCATATGTGCTTGAACATAATAGTTAAACCTCCCTAGAGGGATAACATAATTTTGTAACTTTGTAACTTTGCAGGCAGAGATAGAAAACTTGGATCAATACGAGAAGAATAAAGTAGCCAGAACATGATGCTACTATTTGCTCTTTGTCATTTGTCCCAATGGCAGCATTAAAGGCTTTTTTGTTAGGGAAATCTCTTTTGACTGGAAATTCAAAAAGTTTTTTTGTGTGACGCTTCTTTCCAGGTATCCTTAAATGGTATTTTTTTTTTCAAGTTCACATGAAAAAATGTGATCTTGATTGAAGAAATAGATGCCGTATTGCACTAATGGTGGAGGGAGAGTTCTAACAGTTTCCATAAAACTTTGACCACTATGCAATCAAATATGTAAAATAACTANACCGAAAGAGATCGATGGGGAATCTTACTGTTTTCAGCCATTGTTTAATTGAGAGAGAGAGAGAGAGAGAGAGAGAGTATAAAGAATGAGTTTTGGTTGTTGTACAGCTTTTCACGTAGTGCGGGAGAGAACAAAACGGACTCCAATATTATATAGGGGATTTATTGGAACAAAGTGACTGACTGCCCCAACCCCAAGAAACGACGCATTCAAATTCTTTTTTTTGTTTTCAACAGTATGCATTGATTGTTAAGCACACGTCAACTAATTTTTTTTTGAGTCCGACTTGATCAAATTATACGTCTTTTCGATTAATCTTTTAACCTGATTAAAAATANTTACGCACACGTCAACAAATTTTTTTTTTGGCTCGACTTGGTCAACTTATACGTCCTTTCGATTAATTTTTTAATTCGATTAAAAATAAATTATCTATGTTAAGAATAAAATATTGACTTGATCTTAAAAAATAATCAAAATTAAAAATTAAAACTGAATTTATAGGTCTTCTATATTTACCACGTGAATTACTTTGAAATTGAGACATTCAAATTCTACCCGAAGATGCTAACGCTACTGGGTAGTGTATTATTCAGAGAATAAGTAAAATAATATGCTTAGCCAACATAGAACTTTACTTAGGTTGTTATTAGAATGTCAATCTTGCCCCCACCACTATTATTATTATTATTATTATTATTATTTTCTAAAATCTCTAAAAGAGTCCCACTAAGCACATGGGTGACACGAGGCGCCATGCATGGATCATATATATCCACGGGATCAAACTTCAGTTAAAATTAATTGAGAAATAAGGGAAATTTTGTCAAGATTAATTATTAAATAAAACAATTTGAAAGAGATCGATCGAAACAAATTACATACCTCAGATGATAAATTAAAATAATTTAAATTAAAAGTCATAGTTTAGGAGATATNCAGCCGAAAGAGATCGATGGGGGATCTTACTGTTTTCAGCCATTGTTTGAGAGAGAGAGAGAGAGAAAGAGTATAAAGAATGAGTTTTGGTTGTTGTTCAGCTTTTCACGTGGTGCAGGAGAGAACAAAACGGACTCCAATATTATATAGGGGATTTATTGGAACAAAGTGACTGACTGCCCCAACCCCAAGAAACGACGCATTCAAATTCTTTTTTTTGTTTTCAACAGTATGCATTGATTGTTAAGCACACGTCAACTAATTTTTTTTTGAGTCCGACTTGATCAAATTATACGTCTTTTCGATTAATCTTTTAACCTGATTAAAAATAAAATATTGACTTAATCTTAAAAAATAATCAAAATTAAAACTGAATTTATAGGTCTTCTATATTTACCACGTGAATTACTTTGAAGTTGAGACATTCAAATTCTACCCGAAGATGCTAACGCTACTGAGCAGTGTATTATGCAGAGAATAAGTAGAATAATATGCTTAGCCAACATAGAACTTTACTTAGGTTGTTATTAGAATGTCAATCTTGCCCCCACCACCATTATTATTATTATTATTATTATTATTTTCTAAAATCTCTAAAAGAGTCCCACTAAGCACATGGGTGACACGAGGCGTCATGCATGGATCATATATATCCACGGGATCAAACTTCAGTTAAAATTAATTGAGAAATAAGGGAAATTTTGTCAAGATTAATTATTAAATAAAACAATTTGAAAGAGATCGATCGAAACAAATTACATACCTCAGATGATAAATTAAAATAATTTAAATTAAAAGTCATAGTTTAGGAGATATTTATCAAATTTACCCAAAAGTGAAAGACATTTGAGTTTCAAAGAAGAATACAACACTAATTTTCTGAGTTGATTTGATTGAGGCAATGGCATGCAGAAATATTCACCAAATCAGGTATAAATCACAAACTTCAAGGCAATACATTAATTTACATATAGCTGCTTGGNATTGTTAAGCACACGTCAACTAATTTTTTTTTGAGTCCGACTTGATCAAATTATACGTCTTTTCGATTAATCTTTTAACCTGATTAAAAATAAAATATTGACTTAATCTTAAAAAATAATCAAAATTAAAACTGAATTTATAGGTCTTCTATATTTACCACGTGAATTACTTTGAAGTTGAGACATTCAAATTCTACCCGAAGATGCTAACGCTACTGAGCAGTGTATTATGCAGAGAATAAGTAGAATAATATGCTTAGCCAACATAGAACTTTACTTAGGTTGTTATTAGAATGTCAATCTTGCCCCCACCACCATTATTATTATTATTATTATTATTATTTTCTAAAATCTCTAAAAGAGTCCCACTAAGCACATGGGTGACACGAGGCGTCATGCATGGATCATATATATCCACGGGATCAAACTTCAGTTAAAATTAATTGAGAAATAAGGGAAATTTTGTCAAGANCACATGGGTGACACGAGGCGCCATGCATGGATCATATATATCCACGGGATCAAACTTCAGTTAAAATTAATTGAGAAATAAGGGAAATTTTGTCAAGATTAATTATTAAATAAAACAATTTGAAAGAGATCGATCGAAACAAATTACATACCTCAGATGATAAATTAAAATAATTTAAATTAAAAGTCATAGTTTAGGAGATATTTATCAAATTTACCCAAAAGTGAAAGACATTTGAGTTTCAAAGAAGAATACAACACTAATTTTCTGAGTTGATTTGATTGAGGCAATGGCATGCAGAAATATTCACCAAATCAGGTATAAATCACAAACTTCAAGGCAATACATTAATTTACATATAGCTGCTTGGTTTGCATCATGCACAGCACAGATAAACTGGTACCTGCCATGTACAGAATTACACTAGTGGAAAACCACTTTCATCTACTTTCTTCCTATCTCCTCCTAGATTATATTCATATTTGAAATGCAAAAGCTAGATAATAGATTCTACACAAGCTCAAAAGACGAAGTAGAAAACATATTGAGAAAAAGTAAAGGGCGTCTAGTAATAAGTGCCTTCATGACCAGGAGGGACTATGAGACCTATTAATTCACAAATAGATTAGTTATAAAATGAAACACAACCTACAGATATTACATCGTGTAACACTACCATGACCGCTAATCCAACTGACTAAGCAGCCTTCGTGGACGCTATTTGGGTTCAAGAGCAGCAATTTCTCTGACAACTTGGGCTTTGTCTGCCTCAAACTGTTCATCCTCTGCGCCACAACCATCAAAACAGTTAATAAGTACAATGCCAAAACAGCCTACACAAATGACTAATTCAAATGCATATCTTCCTACCCTACCTTTATCTAACTTAAAATCGGCAAACAAACGAAGAAGCTTGCTTCTATTTGCGACAAGGATGCCAACAATATCTTGGGGCTTATTTTGATTGGCAGCAAATAACTGCAAATTCAAAATTCTTGATCAGAGAGAGCCAACAAGTCCAAAAAAAAGAACTAAAGGGTGCAGTTGACCCTTCAACTAATCCAAACATATGAACATGTATAAAATCTAGATATGGTACCTTGAAAACATGAAATGCTTCAATCTGAATGCTCTTGCTTGACTCCTGCCAAAGGAGGAAATCTACCATTTAGCATGAAACAATAATACAAACTAGATTGAATCTTCATTATACCTATCTTGTCTAAAATTCCCATTTTTTGAGAGATGACCATGAGGGAAATACATGGGTCATCATCACTTACAATAGAGAAACAAGAAGAGAAGAGTGACAATTCATTCATTGCCTTAATATTAAATAACCATGACATCTTCCACCCTAAAAGCTATGTACAAGGTTTTTTCTTTACTTTGGTTATTAGAGAAGGAAGACAAAGGAAAGAAAGAGAGGTTGAGGGGAAGGAGCAGAGGTATTGACATAAGAATCAAGCGAAAAAGAAGAGCATCATACTCTTAGAAGATTCATAAGAATCCTCAAGTTGTCTCTAGATGTTACATATCGCATCATGACAGCTGAGTTTGAACGATCCAGTAAGATATCACCCAATAGCTGTAACCATCAAAGAGGCTTGTTTAGATATAATTTAATAATCCCACGTTTATATGAGAATGCATTGCCACTTAACAAAATGGTGAGATTGATGACATGTGCTGCAAACAATAATTGACTGAACAATTCAACAGTAGAAAATCTGAGTACTGTCACCTACTCACCTTCCACATCAACCCTCTGACAAAGGCAAGGGCTATGGAAAAATAGTATAATCATCATGCACATGAATATAGTAAAGTTCCAGTACCAAATTATTTTAGGATAATAGTCATGTTATACAAACTTGCTCTAAAACCCAGACAATTTAGAGACTGTATATACTCTTTGTGTATAAGATATCCTTCACACTCTGAACAAGAGTATACGTCTACATCACTTATTTAAACAATATTTGAGGTACCTAGTGCAGAAGCACTGGCTAAGGGTTTGTCTGAATATAAATTTCTCCCTTCTTAGGAGTCAAGACTTCCTACATCAAAGGTAATTATCAAATTCGGAAAACATGCCTTTTTATTCATATCCTTATTTCCGTTTTTCTTTCTAGGGTCAAAATGGTGTAGGGACTCGGGAGAGTTAATGTTCAAGCAAGAAAAACCGACAAACCCTATAGTAGCAGAAATCTCTATTCTGAGTTGTACGACGAAACAGAAATTATCCAATTTAGAAACAAAACACATAAGAATGGTCAAGTAACCACTAGTATTTGCTCCTCCACCATTCTTACCTTAGAATTTTATTTGTTCCAAAATACATGAACAATGCCACAAAGTATAGTAATTGTTTGACTTTCGAATGACTCTTACTAACAAAAATAAATTACATTAGTATATATAATGACAGTTCACCACTTAAGAGAAGGGGCTAATTTGGATGATTGTTCGAACATGGTAAGTCCATCTCTCCTTATATGTGTGTTTTTTTAAGCATAGCAACTGTAGTAGAAGGCAGAATTATAATATTTTTTCTCTTATAGCAAATAATAAACATATCTTTGGAGCACGCAAAAATGTGGTTGACAGAACTAAAACTAAATTTTTGTCCTACCTTGATAGCTTGCCGCCTGGTAATGTAATTGGTAGATTCAAGCAGCTTCGAGTTATACTCTGCAAAAAACTAACCCCCAATGGTTTGTGGAGAATATCAAGTAATGATTGACGAGGGGGAAAAAAACATAAAAATGGTGAACCAGTTAATAAGCACATTCCTGCCAACATTGAAGTTCTCTGGCAGCTACCTCTATGTGATTATATTTTTGAAAAAAGGTTGGCATGCAAAGGTTTCTTATAAATGTTAGATTAAACTTCATCAAACAGCACCATAATCATAACAACTTATTATTCTAGAAGCCCATAATAGTGCAATATATGGTTCTTAAGCATTTGAAAAAAGTCTAGCAAATATCAACAAAGATCGTAAAGTAGCTTGCACATCTTAAGCATAAAATAACTCAAAAAAAAATAGTAGAGACAGCTTTGTTCAGAACAGATGTGAGCTGAAGGATATCGAATTAGGAAGATGTCAAAAACACTAATAATGCAAACAATATATTTTAAGATTGTCCCTTTTCTCAGAACAAAGATCTATATTTCCTTTTTCAGAACATATATTTCATTAAGATGATGTTAAGGATAATATTTTCTGACAGCATGCCATGTGCATCAAAGAATATAAACGATACCCAATTTCTTTTCTGTGATATAGTAGAAGTGCTTTCATGCAGCTTTAATTTGCTCTTTCCACTGGGTCCTCATAAATGCTTCTTAACGTGTGCATTGACATACATAGACATAACAAATTACATATACAAACATGTCCGTAAATAGTAATGGACTAAAACAACTACTTACCAAGTCATAATTTTTCGAAAGAAATTCAGCTACAGTTGATTTATGCCTTGTCAAGAGTTCCTGTGACAAAAATGTACAACAAATCATGCTAATGCTAGAGCTATAGCACATGCCTAAAACGAAAGAAAAAGACAAAACAGCAGACAATTTCCATTCCAAACTATGTGTTCAAAAATTGCATTCAAGTGTTCCACCCTAGCTGGTCAACTATCACAAGAAAAATGCCTAATCATGGTGCCAGTATTCTATAGAGCAGTGTCCCTTTTATAAAGCTTTTTGGGAGAGGTTTCGTTATTAGCTTTTGTGTAACTTGCTTAGCTCTTTTTGCATACCTTGGGCATATATGGGTTTTGTCCCTATGGTAGAAGATGCTTTTTAACGACATTTTACTCATCAAAACCAACATATGTGGCATATCATAGGATGAAAGCAAAAACTATCCTTTGATGGCAGATTGGTCAACAAGAGGTAAAACACCCCTGGGGGAAGGTGGGGGAGGGAGGAGAGTATATTTATTTAGCCGTCAGTTCTATCATGCGTACTCCACCTTGAATGTTGCAGCAGCATCAGCAGCAATGTCAAAATTTGGGAGTTGTATATAATCAAAAAACTTCTTGATATGCTCCGAATCCAAGACATACCTGTCAAACGAATCAAAAAATTGCAAAGGTTAGAAAAATACTACATAAAACATAAATTTAAGTTAGATTTAAGAAACAGAGCAATTTGTCAAAAAACCCAAAAATATAGCACGCACCAAGTGTAATGAATCATGTGCATTTGTATAGACAAAATACAAAAAAGGGAAGCACATAAAAGTCACACAGGGTTATCAGTAGTTGTTACTTGACCAGGTCTATACTAGGAATTTAAGAAAAAAAATTATTCTTTTTTTTTTTTTTCGGGGGGGAGGGGGGGNTCATCAAAACCAACATATGTGGCATATCATAGGATGAAAGCAAAAACTATCCTTTGATGGCAGATTGGTCAACAAGAGGTAAAACACCCCTGGGGGAAGGTGGGGGAGGGAGGAGAGTATATTTATTTAGCCGTCAGTTCTATCATGCGTACTCCACCTTGAATGTTGCAGCAGCATCAGCAGCAATGTCAAAATTTGGGAGTTGTATATAATCAAAAAACTTCTTGATATGCTCCGAATCCAAGACATACCTGTCAAACGAATCAAAAAATTGCAAAGGTTAGAAAAATACTACATAAAACATAAATTTAAGTTAGATTTAAGAAACAGAGCAATTTGTCAAAAAACCCAAAAATATAGCACGCACCAAGTGTAATGAATCATGTGCATTTGTATAGACAAAATACAAAAAAGGGAAGCACATAAAAGTCACACAGGGTTATCAGTAGTTGTTACTTGACCAGGTCTATACTAGGAATTTAAGAAAAAAAATTATTCTTTTTTTTTTTTTCGGGGGGGGGGGGGGGGGCGGGTGTGAGGAATCAGAATAATATCATCAAGAGATTCTAGATATTGCTACCATTCTTTTCACTCTGGTGTAATTTGTCTGACAGTAATGAAATGACGTCATATTGTGATCCTATCTGTAAGCATAAATCTAGTAAAAGCACAAAACATGGTTAGACTAGGATCATTTGGCTCACCTCGCAACACTCTGATGGCGTATGCATTCCCTCAACATTGCACCATAATGCAAAGCCATGTCCGTGTTCTCGTAACTAAACAACACAGAATAATGAAAGCCAATCTATATTACATAGAGAGTAAAAGTTCCCAACGTCATCAGACCAAGTATAACAATGTCTGCCAAGTAATAAATAGAACTCAACCAGTCAAAAGAGAACTTCCAAAGCCTCTTCCTATAGAAGCTTACCCTGATATTAATATATCCATTAAATCTAAGTTTGCTTCCAAGTAATCGCAAGCAATCAGCCGTGACTGAACTTGTTGCCTTTGCAGATTTGCAACAACCTGAGTGGCATCTTTACGGGCCTGCAAGAGGTGATGCCCTCAACTATGTAAGATGAAACTGGCAAAAAAAGCACTTAATAAAATCTGACAAACTATATCATGGACACCAAATAAATTGATTGCATTCAGTAAGAGATCCAGTCCATGTTTACCTCTAAGTTCAACTTTGGAAGACAAATAATCAATAGACGTAGCGTGTTCTCTTTCTCTTTAAAGAACTCCTGAGTCAATTGTGCACAAGCTTCCGAAACTGGCTCAGATTGACTATTCCCATAAAGGATTAACTTTAACTCCCGTATAAGCTTAGTTAACTCCATCAACTGCACATGACGTAATATAGACAATTAAAAATGCATAAGCTAATGATCCTAGAAGTATGCCATAATAACTTATATCGCCAATTTATTGTCACAATGGGATTGTCCGGGAAGGTAGCATATTTCAGAAACCCAATTCCATACATACATCCTCCTTTGGAATTCAACATGAGTTTGATGATGAACTCTTTACCTTTCACAAATAACATAGCAATGTTACTAGACCAACGGACATGAATGTTGAACCACAGTACACACCTCATCATTACAACTATATTTGAACCAGTCTAAGTAAATAACCATCTCCACGATAAGAATTGATGTAAAAGAAGTACTACACTCCAAGAGTCATTTAACATTACATAAAGCAAAGCTCAAAAAACTATCATTTGGCTCTGAAAATACCAAGTTCCTACATTTGGGATTCATATATATATAGTTCATTCACCCTCTATAAAATTCCCCCTTTTGCAACCCAATTTCCTTGTAAATTTCAACCCAATTTCCTAATATAATTAAAAAAGGATCAAAATTCGATCAAGTATGAAGACCAAATACCCATATTCAAAAATTCAATCCATACAGATTCTAGCAAAAGTAAGAAAACCTCTAAATGCACAACGATTCGCAAAAAAAAAAGGATCAAATAAGTGGAAACAAATTGAACCTTTTCTTCGCGCTTGGTTTCGCGAGTATCCGGGTTCCGGTTGGCATATATAAGGAGATCACGGGTCTGACGAACAAGGTCAGCAGGGGTCTTGGGCTTCGACTTGAACAGACTCTTCATTTTCTTGCTGCTGTTGCCGTTTTCTGGTAACGCAGCTGGTGCTCTATCTCTCTCTCTCGAAAGTTTTTGTATTGTATGGTATGTGTTGTTTGTTTCTCGGGAANAACTCTTCATTTTCTTGCTGCTGTTGCCGTTTTCTGGTAACGCAGCTGGTGCTCTATCTCTCTCTCTCTCGAAAGTTTTTGTATTGTATGGTATGTGTTGTTTGTTTCTCGGGAAAATGAGAATGAAAAGGGTGTATTTTTTATGTTGTAAATTTTATCCCTATAAAATAGACCTAAATATGATGACACCCTTTTATTTCTAAAATTTTACTGCATTCCCTCTTACTTCTTCTATGTCACTACATTCATACCCATTACTCATAATCAATCAACTGTTTTCAAAATACCAATTTTAACCCTTTTATCCTTCTCGCCATCACCCTATCTCTCTCTTCCACCTCCCCATCTGGGATCTGGCCATCTCTCTCACGTCATTTCATCAAAACATATAATTAATTTGTTATTAATTGTAAATTAACACCTAATTAAGATTTATTTTCATCAATTTAAAATTTATTTCCCCAAATTATCATTTGATTTTATCAATCTAAAAATTCAAATTTATCAAATTAATACTAAATTGGCCTTCAGTTTCATCAAGTTAATTAAAATTTAATTCATTAAATTAATACTAATTTGGCATTAGATTTTATCAAATTAACATCTAAAATTTAAATTTATTAATTTGATTAATTCCTATTCAATATATAATATATTTATAAATAAGCAAAAATACAAATAGAGAGATGACATAGTTCACAAAAATAGACAAAATTGATAAGAAAGCAGGAGAAATCTTGTGGAAATGCAAAAAAAAAAAAAATATATATATAATATATATATGGAGATATCACACCATCATCGAGGTGTCATACATCAATAATAAACAAACAAGTAGTACAAGTCAACCATATTAATCTTCCATGGTAGTTATTAGAATAAAGAAGTTATTGGTGGTATTTTCATGTTTTTTTTATCTCTAATACTCTGTTTTATGAAAATTTTATTTTTTTGAGGTCAAAAGTTTAAATCCTCCATCCCAACAAAAAAAAAATTATTGGTAATTATTAAATTTTATAATATCTATTAATCTTACATTTTTAATCCATAATTAGTTAATGATCACATCACAATAATAATGTGATATAACTATTATATTGAAAATTTATTGTGGAAAAAAATTTATAATATAAAATAGAGCAAACTTTAATAAACTCATTCGACGGTTTTAAATAGATTCATCGAACGTTTATCAACATTTCTTTTAATAGTTATCAACATCCACCTCAAAATCATTCACATTCACATTATACCGTGCTCGACACGGGGTTAGTTCTAATATCAAATATACTAGGAAGAAAGATTAAATATTGGGTGTACCAATGATGCAAGAAATATTTTCTCCACTTCCTTATCAAAAAAGATAAGAAATTTATTTTTTTGGTAAAAAAAAAAAAAGAGAATTACACCGGAGTTTCCTGAATTTTGTAATTTAATCACTCAAATCTCCTGACATTTAAAATATTATATACAAATCCCCTAAAATTTGTACACATATAACACTTAGACATCTGTTGTAAATATATTAATTAATAAATTACATTTAGACTCCCTTAAAGTTTGTGGGTATATAATACTTAGACCCTTTAAGTTTAAAATATTATATTTAGACAAAAAATACTCCAATCAAATATAAAATATAAAATATTTTTAAATTTTACTACCAAAATTCATGTTCTATTATATTATTTATTGAAATAAAATTAAAAACAAAAATTTAATTTTTTCTTAAAAAATTGTAATTGTTATATAATTATATTGTTTATTAGAATTTAATTTAGTCATTTAAACTATCAAATGAAAATACCAAACTACCCCAATTAAATCTAAAAGATATTATGTCAATTACAATTTGATTCCTTATTTAATTTTTTAGTTTTGTTCTAATAGACAGGATAAATATATACTAACTATATTTTTTTTAAAAAAATAAATTTTTATTTTTAATTTTATTTCAATAAATGAAATAATAGAACATAAATTTTGGATATAAAATTCATACTCTATTATGAATGAGTTAAACCCATTGTTTAATTTTTTTTAGTTTTATTTCAATAGATAGTATAATTATATAATAATTATAATTTTTTTAAGGAAAAGTTAAAATTAAATTTTTAATTTTATTTTAATAAATGATATAATAAAACATGAATTTTGGTTGTAAAATTTAAAATATTTGTTATTTTATATTTGATTAGAGTATTTTTGGTTTAAGTATAATATTTTAAACTTAAATGGTTTAAGTATTATATGCTCACAAACTTTAAAGAAGTGTAAGTGTAATTTATTAATGGATATATTTACAATTGGGGTTTAAGTATTACACGTTAATAAATTTTAGAGGGTCTGTATATAATATTTTAAATATTAAAGGATCAAAGTGATTAAATAACAAATCTTAAAAGATTTAAGTGTAATTCTCAAAAAAAAAAAAAAAAAAAAAAANGGGAAGGAAGACAGAGTGTTTGTGAGAGTGAGGTGAAGAGAAATGGTCCATATGAGAGCTATATATAGAGGATTAAAAGGGCATAGAAATAATGGGAGAGAGGAATAGGAGCAGTAAAGAATCTTACATCTCACGTCACTTCCATAAAGAAGAGATTAGCATGTCTAGTTGTAAATGTTTTTACTTTACAAAAAAATATAGTATTTATTGTTGAGTTTTTTTAGATTATTAGTTCTTTGTTAAACTTTAGTGGAGTGGCATTGCCACATGGTGGAGGCCATTTATGATAGCCATTATATCTTTTTCTTTTGAGTGGTTTATTCTGTGTTTTGCTCAGTAGGGCATGAAGGTGACTAAGACTATCATGCTTTCATGTTCTAAAATTTCCATTCGACCATTGCCATTATCTTTGTAAATACCCTTTTAATAACTAGTTAGGCCCCAAGATTGTCTCTTGCTTTAGGGAAAGCATATAAGAAATAAAATTATATTGTGGGCACATCAAATATATGTAACTAAATACATAACTTTATCTCACAATAAGATTCTCTCTAATAAATTTTTTCTTTAATTTCTTTTTTGACACATCATCTATCATCCATTCAAATGAGACCCATTATTTACAACTGGAGCTCTTACTCATTAATGGTGAATGATATGCCAAGAAGAGAATTGAAAGAAATTTTTACTACTTTTCTTTAGAACAAAAAAAAAATACCCCTTTTTTTTAGTAACTATTTTTACTATTTTTTTTGGTACCACCAATACAGTAAAAACACCCACAACAATGGTAAAAAAATTCACAACAATATATACTTGATAATTAAAATTATTTAATAAGTAGTGGGTTTCAATAAATATTAAAATTCGCAGTGAAATTAATTATTATTATTATTAAGTACATATTTTAATTTTATTTTTTAAATCCATGTAACATTACTCGTAAAAATAATCATAAATGTGATAAATTAAAATATGGTACCGAAATATATATATAATTTTTTTTTTGAGGGGGGGGGGGGGGGG